GTGTTGTGTTTGCATATGTACCCGAGCGCATTCCCAGTATATGCCAAAATAATAAATAATTTATTGACATCATACATTTTAAGTAAAGAACACATTATTGCCTTCATTGAACATCGAACCGAACGCGAAAGTAAAGCATCTCGTCTTGATTTTCGTGGTGGCAGCACTGTCCATCGTCGCTTGCCCGAGCAGGCGACAGATATCCAAGTGTGGCTTTAGGCCGCCTCGTCCCCCGCCGGTGGCCTCCAGCCCCCGTCAGCTCACTCCGAGAATAACCCTTCCAGGACTGAAAATAGGGCCCAAGGATAGAGAACATGGGTCCCAATAAAACCAATGTGCCTACCCCTAACCCTAACCCTAATCTTAACCCTATCCCTAACCGTAACCCTAACAATAACCCTAACCATAACCCTAACCTATTATATTGATATAATATTATATTTATATTGATGTAAATGACATTGGTTTTATTGGTACCCATGTTCTCTATCCTTGAACCGTCTTTATTACAACGATATATATTTTGTGACATACATAGACTTAACAGTACGTGATTACGTCGCTACAGTTTAATGTATCGGCGATTCGAGTGTCCATGTTCTCTCTCGCCTCACTCTCCATGTTTCGTCTCACGCAGGGTGAATGCCAGAACGCGACCCCTCACAGAAAGGTCGACCACAAGCCGCACGCGCTCGAGATATGCGAGAAGTATGGCGGCGGCCGCGAGGGGTCGTCGTCGAAGCGCCACCAGGGGGCGCCGCGGGTCGACTCTCCGTGCGACACGGTGACGACGCGCGACAGCTCGGAGCGTTCGTCCATCACGAGCTCCGTCGACCGCAGCAGTGGCGCCACCAGCGACTCCGAGGACAGCGGCTCGGTGAAGCGAGCGATCGACGTGCCGCCAGAGGGCGCCCGCGATGCGAAGGCGCCGAAACACGAGAGCGACGACGACGTGGAAGACGAAGAGGTTGCCACCGTTGAGTCGCCGCCGCCGCCGCCGCCGCCGCTTCTCAGGCTCGTCAATGTCGCATCGCCACCTACGGTGGCGCCACCGCTGGACGCGAAACCGGCGCGGACTCCCGTGGGCTCCGAACGCCAGTCGGGCGGGAATTCTAATTCGGACATCGAGAATCACGTGGTAGGGGGCGCCGACGATGAGGACAAGATGGCGCCGCAGACGTGGCACCCGTCGAATCCGTTGCTCGACAGCATCCTCATCACGGACGTGACGACAAACTGCGTCACGATCACGGTGCGCGAGTGTTCGTCCGGCGACGGTTTCTTCAAGGAGCGAAACGTCTAGCTGTGGGGACAACAGATGGGCAGGGGCGCCGTGCCGCAGCAGGGACAGAGTGAGATCTGCGTCATCATCGCCGTGTACGAAAAACAAATGCGTCACGATCGCCGTGCGCGAGTGTTCGTCCAGCGACGGTTTCTTCAAGGAACGTAAGCGTTTAGCTGCAGGGACGACGGATGGGCAGGGGTGCCGCGCCGCAGCAGGGACAGCCCGAGATCTGTGTCATAATCGCCGTGTATGAAGAACAAATGTGTCACGATCGCCGTGCGCGGCTGTTCATCCAGCGACGGATTCTTCAAGGAACGTAACGTCTAGCTGTGGGGACGACGGATGGGCAGGGGCAAAAACTAAAAAATATATGTGTGTGTATGTGGGTGTGCTGTGTTTGTGTGTGTGTGTGGTGTGTGCTGTGGTGTTGTGTGTGGTGTGTGCTTCCGCCCAAGCTGTGTGTGCTGTGTGTGTTTGTGTCGTGTGTGTGTGTGTGTGTGTGTGCTGTGCGTGGCGTGCGCTGCGCTGCGGCGCGTCGCGTGCATGGCGTGTGTGCGTGGCGTGGCGTGCATGCATCGCGCCGGCGCCGAGGGGGTGTGTGATAAATTGGGCCATTACGCCCCGTATATATAATAATAATTATATATATATATATAGTATAAATTATATATATATAGTATAGTATACAAAAGTTTGGCCTAAGGGATGCTGGGTTATTTTACGTTTTGCCAAGCGTATCCACGAACTTTTTCGTAACGGGGAGGTGATCATAAGCCTGTTTAAAAGCGGCGCCAGTGCATCGCAATGCGGGGTATTGCGGGAATCGTAGTTTATAGACGGGCAGTGTGGAACGTGTGTCAATGTCCATCTCACGCTAATTACAATGTCCGTTAGTCGAATGTAGATCAAATGATATAGATTCTACGCATTGTAGGCTGTTATGGCCTTAGGTTCGTTATATAGTTATACCGTCCGATCTTTGTGCTATAGATATGACCTGATAATTCGATAGAGATCTCAAGTTCGTCCGCAATCAGTCGTGATTTT